TTCGCTCTAAATAGCGCCAGAGGTGCTAGTAGGTATCTATTCATTATTGGTAACCATTAAACTTAGATTTTTTTAACGGAATCTGCGGAAAGAAGCTGTAGCGCCAGAGGCGTCAAATAGCGCCGACGTGGAATAAATAAGAGCTGTCGAAAAAGGATGTAATTTCTGTGATCATTACACAGAAGTTTTAGAGAAAATTGTCATTTCGACCTAATTCCGAAAAATTGGCCGTTGGTAAGTCAATAGCCTGTAGGATTCACCCCGGCGAACTGAAAATGAGTTTCCTGGCTTCTGCGATTTGGCGTTGCGGCTCTGTTCCGCCAGTCACAATAGAAAACCCATTTGCAGGGGTTACTCATGGTCCTGGTAATGAATATAGCATCGTTTCGGCACTGAAACCATTTGTGCCGCTTTGGAGGTGACAATCAAAAGCGGAATAATCTGCCACGAGTGGAGCCGAACCACAAAGTCTCCCCTGCAGTGCCACTGCGAGCGCAACACGCTATCCACCTGACCACCACACCGCTGCAACGTTGCGATGCCGACGACGCTTATGAAACTTCTACCCTTTCTTCAGCACATATGACTGTCATTATTGAGCAAATATCACATTATTCTTGACATCATCTTCACAAGTATCTCTCAATATGTAGGTAGTCTTCTCTAGAAGTCCGACACTTCACACCAAGACTGCAAAAACTACCCATTCCTTACACTTTTTGCGATTTTTTTGACCTTTAGAAGGCCGCCTAGCAAAAGCGAAGCACACTGTAGTTTACATGAGACCCTCTACAGCATTCAAAAAAAAACTGTTCCGAAACAGCGCCCCACACCCTGAACAATCTCCCTTGTGAGGGCTACCGCCACATCGTGAGAACTTATGTGTATGTGAATCGGGAGAAGATCATGAGCAGAATGTATGAACAAGTATGGCTAAACATCACTATGATTCTGGACAGTATGTTAATCGTTTCCTCAGGTGATGAACTAGACGATCGCCCGCCTCCTACCGTCATTCATGTGGCTCCGTTTCGTGAAGACAGCCCAGAGTTTTTGGCCTTTGGTACCCATGCCCAACGAG